GAGAGAGTGTGTGTGTGTGTGTGTCAGTTTAGGACTTTCAATGTTCAAATATACACACAGGGTTCAATCTCTCTCTCACACACACACACGGTGAAGAAGTGCAGGGCTGGATCCTGCAGAAGACTAATGGAAACACAAAAGATCATAATAACAAACCATTTGGACTCACACTGCTGCACCGCCAGAGAGGAGCAGAGCTGCCACGAGGAAGGACTCGAAAACCACACAAATACTGTTCCTTTATTTTGGTAAATTGTTAAAAAAAAAAAAAATTGGGGGGGGGCTCCAAACTAATTTCTACAAAATGGTGGTTCATTTACTGAACCTGCTGTTAAAAACACCAGGAGACTTGAACCAATAAGAGCTAGTTCTCCTCTGTCTTTCATTTAGGTTTGAAGGATATACAGATTGGTTATAAAGACTAAAGACAATTTTTAATTGTTTTCACTCGTTTTGGCCATTTCATGTCCCAGATTATTAATTTTCCAGGACTCAATAGAGGTCTGTGTGAGTGAAGTCCAAGGGGAAAATTGTTGCTGAATCAGCACGACCTCTAGTCCCTACGATAAAAACCAGATACTACATAGTATGTGTGTACCATGCATCTCTCACCAAGGCCTTCAGTGACGTCATTATGTCTATAGAAACCACCAATATTATGCAGAAATGTAGCCTAACGAGTATATTACAAATATATAATAATAATAATATAATATTACAGATAACTCATAATAACGCAAGTACCGAAGCAACAAACACACGAAACACAACTTCATCAGCTCCCATATTATACACATAAAAACATCAATAATAACATACTAAATATAGTATATAAATCACAATATAATTAAATACATAAAACGCATTTTACTCACCAAAACATTTAATTAGCTGTACACATCCTCTTCTCTTTCCTTGAGATAAGTTCAATTACTTGGACATCCGTAAGTTGGTTATCCGTGAGTTGTCCTTCTCTAGCTCCATCCATGCTAACGATTAGTCCAGTCTGTCCTGTTGAAATTATGGCATACGTTTTAAATCGCTTTAAAATGTAAAACTCCTGAAAATAGTAATTTTCAAGTATGCTAGTCGCTACATGCTAGCTTACTTGACTCAACACTGTGCTCTTTGACCATCCAATCAAATTACTCAAACCGATAGCAGGCCTTGATATGCCAGGTTATGTCAAATCAAAATCTGATTGGTTTAAGAAACAACGTCATTGCCATTCATTTTAAGCTCCCAGCGCGAGTGTTATTAGGGCTGATTTCTTTCAACCTGGCAACACAAGAAGCCGAAATATGATTGGCAAAAAAAAAACCAACACAAGAGGCCGAAATATGATTGGCAAAAAAAACAAAAAAACAAACACATACTGTAAAAACATTACATGACGGGAACGAGATAGAATGATAAGAACGGAATACTCTGTATTATTTTAGAAATATTCATGAAGTATATTGAAAAATAAGTCACTGATTCTAACACTGTTTAGGCCAGCAGAGGCGGCTTTGCTGGATTTGACAGTGCGCCACTGCTACACACAGATACTACGGTAATCAGACATTGGACATTAGGGACTCACATTCATTCAAAGCTTTTTAGTTGCAAGAATGGACATGTACGTATAATTTACTTCTATGATTGTTTACAGAATTCAGTTTTACTTGCGTTTATGTACAACTAATTTTACCGACCTTTCTGGGAATTGAATTTGCTCCCTGTCCGTCCTCTTATTCTCAGACTTATTTTGGCTTGTTTTGGGATTCGGACCATTTGGACTCAGGGGAGAACAGATTGTCATCAGGGACACATTTGTCCGGCAAACAGCTACTGGAAACGATGTTTCCATGCTGTCACTGAAAACCCTTTATTTATTTATCTATTGACTTACTTCATAAATAAACCAGGTCATATTAATGCTTCTTTCTCCCAAATACTTCAGTGCATCATGACAATCTGTTCGTGTATTTGTTCTCTATATTATCCTCTGAAAATATTATTTTTAAGTTGTTAATTTATGAAGAAACAAATAAACTGATGAAGAGAACGTAGCACCATTTTGCTACTACATACAGTAGTAGCAAAATGGTGTCATCTAGTGGCGAATAGGTGAAGAAAAACTCAATTCTGACAAGGACTAGGCAAAATAAAACACTTACAAATTATCGTCTACAGTACACAATATTGTGTTTGCGTTCCACGTGCACATTTCGCAAGCATTTTAAAATCATTTTATTAAATGTTGATTGTTGGGTATTGAGCATGTAGCGCCCCTTCCCTTCACGTACACATTTTAAACTCTCGTCTATAATCTACATAGACGTCATGTAAATGACGATGTCATTTTTGAAATGTGAATTAGATTATGTTAATCTATCTTTTTAAACTTCTCCAGAAGAAAACAGGTAAACATTTAAGGTAATTATTGTGTCTTCAAAAGGGAAGCAAACTATTCATGTAGCACTTAGCTTGTTAGCAGTGTTTTCGACGGGTGCTCGCGAGTAGCAAATTAGCAGCTTATTAGCTTGTGTTAGCTCCTAAAACGAATCGACGTCAAATGATCAGAGTTCACTAATTTAATCAGGTTTGAGAAAAATCTAGGCCAATGTAGAGTTCACACAGGATTACTTGCACGATATTAATTTAAATAAAAATGTTTAAAAACTGAGGCTAAAAGGTAGTTAATAAATTTGGGTTTAAATGCTAATGAATTAAGCAGGTAAAATATACTCGTATTTGAACAAAGATTAAACAAACACACTTGTCAGGTTAATTGAAACACAACTTTCTGTGTGTATGTGGTCAATTCACACATTTTTCATTACCTCCTTCCTGAAGTTCACAGAGGTCATGTGTTCACATCTCAGGGGAGCTAAGTGTTTGACCTTTAACCTCTGCTTAAGTGTGAGAAAGGCCTCCTGGGAGGATGTTGGGCCTGAGTTCAGGAAGTGGAGGCAGGTGTCAGCTGCTGGTGTTGGTGACATTGGAACCTATTTACTGACACTTCACCTTTTTTTCAGCATAAACTGATGAATTTCACAGCTAAGATAATGAATGCACATAGATGTAGGAACTTGTACAGGAGAAAAGATTGTCAGACCGTGGGTGGTGTTTCAGATGTGTATTTTCTAACATTACAGGTCAACACAGGCATCAATAACAATGCCATGGTGTCCGTTTTGGACAATTCCCTCTTGTTTTCGCTGTATTAAAGTAAATGCCTCAAATCCTTTATCATCAGATCCTGCAAGTGTACAGACAAAGTGAGGTTTAAAACAAATTCTTACCTATGCTAACAGGGCCTTAGGTAAAATGGCAACCAGTGAACAATCAACACATTGAAAAAGTACCACACATAAAATGTGTAAATGAAACCATCCAGTACAGAATCAACATTAAAACATTTCAATGAAGTCTGCATAAACGTCTCGACATTTATGGTTGAATATGCAGGTGTCTCCCCCTGGTGGCCATCTCTAGACTCCATCGTGTGTATTTCTAAAAACGTTGCAATTGTCAACACTTTCTACTGCAATTAGAGCAGAGGCAAAAATTATAAATGGAAACATTAAATCTCTTACTTAAAAAAAAAAAGTTACTAGTTATAAATGGAAACATTAAATCTCTTACTTTAAAAAAAAACTAGTGCATGATTCCTGTGTACACTATGTTCATTGTTTGTTCATAAAGACTTTGTAATTAAAAAATAAAAAGACTTAAAAAATCTGTCAGTTTAAGTTTCTAGGTGACAATGTTGACACTGGCTTTATGTTACAGATTTAATAATAGAAGAAAATAAAACTAAAATAAAAAAATCCCTTTAAAACCCACACTATCATAAAAAAATTAGTTCTGATAAAATTGTTCATGTTCAACAGCTCAGGAACTGCACCTAGCTTAGCATAAACCCTGATCTAGAAAATGGCCAGCGTCTTTTGAAGTAGATTCACATTTTAGCTGAGCAAAAATGTCTTAAACTATGACTTTAAAAAAATACTCCAACATGCACTATGGTTTGCTTAAACAAGCTATGCTAGGCTAAGCACTTTGCTTTTACAATTTTCTATATCCAACTGTTGAAAGCCACTTTATTTAACCACTTGTAATAAAGTAAATTTGTGCTTTTTCCCCAGAATATTGTGGCCTTATGTCACCTAAATATGGCACAAATAAAATCAGATAAAATTGAATATATGAAGATACCGTTTTAAAAGATTTTAAGTGAAATTGTCCGTTAAAGGTGCAGTGTCTTTCCAGTGCCAGTAGAGGTCACCTAGGGGACATCTGTGCTGGGGGAAACGCTGCTTTAGCTCTGGTCACTGTTCTGCACGCTGCCATTGTTCAGCAGTCTCTCCCGTTCCGCTGCACTGCTTTCCTCCTCCGCACTCACCAGTCCAGCGCAGCAAGGTATCCTGGCCAGCAGGGGGCGGTGCAGTCCATTATAGAGCCCTGTGCCCAGCAGCAGGACCAGGAAGCCGAGCACCTGGAGGCCGTGGAACACCTCCCAGCCCAGGGCCAGGCTGACCACCCAGATGACCAGCGTACGCAGGCTGTCCAGCACCATGCGTGTGGTGGCGCTGATCTCCTTGGTGACGCTGATCCCGGCGAAGTTGAAGAAGGCGATGCTGACCGTGTTGCCCAGCAGAGCAAGCAGGATGAGGGGCTGGTGGCCAATCTGACAGAAGGCGTCCAGCGCGTCCTCCAGAACCTGACGAGGGTTGTTACCAAACTCACCAACGGGAATGAAGTACATGGGGATGAGGAGCAGCGTCAGGACGAAGAAGCCAAAAAAACCTGGAGGAGGAGGATGTTTGTTTGTTGTTGTTGTTGTTGTTTCTTTATCTGTGTTTGTGTGATTCTTTAGTGATTTCCCTTAAAGTTCGACAAAGCAGGACTTTGTCTCCTCTTTAACGTCATAGTCAAACCAAACAAAAACATCTTTGTTCCAGTACATGTTACTAACCAGTACACGTGAGTGAAGTAGAGCAGGGGTATTAAATACTAATCCTAAATGTCCACAAAGACATTTCAGTAAGTCAAAAGTCTGGACGGGGGGGTTGGACGTAGTGAGGCACATAACATACTTTCAACGACTTAAACACTCCTTTTATTACATTATTTATTTCTAATAACACGTCGCCTTTCTTTTCAAACTCGAACCTGACGCCTTCTGGACCCAATTCCACTTCCCCACTGAGCCACCGCTGCCCCTTCAAAGTGAAGTTGTGGTTCACAAATGGGCCACATCCAGAAACAGCTGCCTTACCTTCAGTGCCGACGGCACGGAGAGGATGGACGTCGTGTTTGTAGACAAACTTCTCCTCTAGAACCATCTGCACGGAGACGATGATCTGAGCCATGATGATCAGCAGGTCACCTGCAGGAGGACAGACACGTGTTATCTGTCATTCACTGATAACGACTGACCAGTAAACACACAAGGTCCTCCATACGACAAAAACAAAAAAAGTCCAGCGTACCTGTAATGACCTGACTGAGTTTGTGCTCATCATCTCTGTGACCGCTGAAGAAGTCGGCCAGACCCACAACCACCAGACCAAGGATGGTGATGAAGATGCCAATCCACTGACTGGGCAGCAGGCGGCGCCCAAGGAAGGCTACAGAGAGCAGACCTGTGAAGATGATGACTGCTCCACGCAACATCTGGAAACTGGAGGCACTGGTCATGTTCAGAGCTGGGAGGAAAAGAAACAAACTCTTCAGGTCAATGACTCGACGTTTGTCCATTTCCTTTCCAAGTCACTCAGACAAACAGATCAATCGTTATCATTATGGAGTATTTGTCTTTGCTCCTGATAAGAGAATTCTTAACACTTTACTGATACCACGTCGTTTGACCTTTCAGGACCAGATCTGATTCGAAAGGAACAGACAGACGAGCGAGAGGTTAAAGGAAGTGAAAAACCAAAGGTTTTGGTCACTTACCGACATACATGATGGAGGTGGCCGTCATGTCGCACATGGCCGGGGCGAAGAAGAGCAGAGGGTTGAACCTCTGACCCGGGTTCATCTTCGGCTCCGGCCTCCGTCTGTCGTGGCAGAGCAGGATGTAGAAGACGGCCAGACAGCTGAACTCACCCAGGAACATACCCACGGCCTGGACACACAGAGTGGGACACGTAAAAAAAAAAAGAAGAAGAAGAAGACAGAAGTAGTCTCTTTCGCCCAGTTATTTCACTGAACAGGCTAAGCTAACATTTAGCTAATTCCCCATTTTTTCATTAACTACATGGATAATTTAATATAAGTTTTGGTCTTTTCTGCACTAACATCTTTAGTCTTTAGTCCATTCTCTTGGCTGATTTACAATTTGTGCCTTATTATTGTTCATACTATTTTTTTCAAAGCTTACATTTAAATATTTGTTTGCCAACATCTTTAGTCTTTAGTCCATTCTCTTGACTGATTTAATGCCAACTTTATAAAATGTACAGTATCTCTAAACTATTTGAAATGCAAACGTACCAAAGCTCAGGGTTTAACTACTAATTCTCAGTACATCCGAGGGTTTCCTGACAGGACTGTGGTGTGTCGACCCAGCATCAAACCTCTACCTCATTTACCAGTAAATATCTATCAGTAAAAAGGTTCTGAAGGACCAGAACCGTGTGGTCCAGTGTGTTCACTACCTGCAGGAATGGATGGGAGAATCCATGTTCAGGGTTGTCATGGCAGCCCTTCGCTGTGAACATGTCTGCCCATCTGCAAGACAACATGAGATTATTACAATTCAATTATTCATATTTAACAAACTCAGGGAAAATGGGTTCAGTGGAGTACCGGTGTAGTCCCGGTGTAGTACCAGTGTAGTAATGGAGTCTCAGTCTGTGATCGAGACTCGAGAAAAAATCTAAATATTTGATACGTTTTCAGGTTAATGGTGTTGGTCAGGCGACAGTTAAGGCGTCACCAACCAGTGACTTTTACAGTCAGACAGCCAGAGGCAGCGTGACCAGCATGTGAGTTCAGCTCTGTTCAGCTCAGTTTTTCAACTGCTGCTGACACATCACTTCCTTCAAACTTGCAAAGTCTGAGCTCATCAGAAATGTGAAGCGGCCTGTTGCTGACTCACCCAGATCTGCCCAGACAATCCTCTTTACTCAGGATCAGGGTTTCAGACCACACAGTCCGAACATGGTGTGTAAATTAAGAGGAAACGAGAAGCCAAACC